CCTTCAGCCGCCACGTACACCCCAGCAAACACCCTTCTTGCTGCAGCAGCAGCAGCAGCAGCAGCAGCAGAGAAAGCAGCAGCAGAGAAAGCAGAAGCAGCAGCAGCAGAAAAAGCAGCAGCAGCAGCAGAAAACGCAGCAGAAAATGAAACAATGAGCTCTTTAAATTGATGCAGATAGAGACAGTGAAGTAACTGCAGCAGCAACAGCAACAGCAGCAGCAGCAGCCACTGCAGCAGCAGCAGCAGCAACAGCAGCAGCACCAGCAGCAGCACCAGCACCAGCACCAACAACAGCGGCAGCACCAGCACCACAACCAACAACAGCAGCAGCAGCAGCAGCAGCAGCAGTAGCAGCAGCAGCAGCAGCAGCTAACCATGAGAGCAGCATCTTTATCGAAGTCGCATTTCTGCAGCAGCTGAAAGCAGTGGTGGCTATACACCCCAAAAAAACGAATCGTTGAACTGCAGCTCTTCTGGTGCAGCTGCTGCAGCGCCTCTGCTGCTCCGTCCAGTTCCTGCAGCAGCAGCAGCAGCAGCAGCAGCAGAAGCAGCAGCAGCAGCAGCAACAGCAGCAGAAGCAGCAGCAGCAGCAGCAGAAGGAGTAGGAGTAGGAGCAGCAGCAGCAGCAGCAGCAGCATGAGTTGGTGTGATGCTCTTGACGCAGCTAACATCACTCGAGCTCAGCCAGTGCAGCAGCAGCAGCAACCGCAGCAGCAGCAGCAACCGCAGCAGCAGCAGCAACGGGAGCAACAGCAACAGCAGCAGTAAAAACACAAACAGCAGCAAAAAAGCAGCAGCTGTTGCAACAACAGCAGCAGAAACAGAAACAAAAACAGCAGCAGCAACAGCAACAACTGCAGTAGCAGCAACAGCAACAGCAGCAGCAGCAACAGCAGCAGCAGCAACAGCAGCAGCAGCAGAAAGCTAGACTGTGTGTACACCTGGAGTGTGTAGTGCATAATGAGTAGAGGAGACTTCCCCTCTCCTTCTGTCTCCGGTGTTGCTGCTGCTGGGTCCTGCTGCTGCTGCTGCTGCTGCTGCTGCTGCTGCTGCTGCTGCTGCTGGTGCTGCTGCAGCATGGCGTTCTGCGTCATCGCTTTGAAATGAGCTAAAGAGGAAAGACAAAGCTGCACGTTGTTCACAGCAACGGGCCAGCAGTGGCAGGCTCCTGCAGCAGCAGCAGCAGCAGCAGCAGCAGCAGTAGCAGCAGCAGGAGTAGCAGCAGTAGCAGCAGCAGCAGCAGCAGCAGTAGCAGCAGCAGCAGCAGCAGCAGTAGCAGCAGAAGCAACGCCTAGAAACAGCAGCAACTGCTGCAGTAATGCTGCTGTCTAACCACACGAGTATATCCGCTGCTTCTGCTGCTGCAGCAGCAGCAGCAGCAGCAAACGAGCTGCTGCCACACATAGATATAAATATAAAACAAATGCAGCAGCAGCAACAGCAACAGCAGCAGCGGCAGCAGCAGCAGCAGCAAACGAACTGCTGCCACACATAGATATAAATATAAAACAA